ACGGCTCATGCATGAATCCCACTCCTGACCATCTTAGCCCCAGAAATGCTTATAAATCAGCATATTCTTGCTGATTGAACAATGCTCATATATAGAGCATTTTTTGGGACTACCTGACTTATTGGGTGACCTGATGAGTAAATTATGACTTATAATACACGAAACAGATCAGTTAGTATCAGTGATAAAAATTATCCCTTGATCAAAAATTTCGGGACATAATATCGAGGTTGACAACCGAGCGACCTAGGTACGAGTCCTGGCTCCGTTCATTTCAGTCACATAAAAACGCTCCTGATTTACGAACCAGGTCCGAGATCACCACCGACTTCACCAATTCCGCATCCAGGAATTCTATCCTCGAGCTCTCAATGTTCAATTCATTGGACACAGTCAAAGGAAGAACCGTGCACAAGATTGCGCGCGCTAAAATGTTTCGAGCCCCTCCCAGACTTGATGTTCAACAGACACACTAACCTGTGTGTTACGGGATGGACCACGCTTCCCGCTGAGCTCGGAGATCACTTGAACAGTTAATCTCCACTAGTTGATAATCCCTTGTACCCAACCTACTAGCAAAGCACATCCATGGCAGCCATCATTCTGTAACCAGGAGAAGACATAACATGTTCGAGCCAGTGGAAATGCTGCAGAGGTCGACAGATTTTCCGCTTTGGGAACAGGAGCATCACACAAAACTAGATATGCTCTGGAAACAGAAACTTACTCAAGAAACGTGTCAACAGCGAGAGTCATGCTGTGAATAATGAGGAAATCAAGGAATCCTGCTTCAGCTGCGTCTCATTCCACTGATGGTATGAGATCGCACGAAGTCTGGTGGATCCGAGCACAGCTCTTATCAATCGATACTTGAAAGATTGGGCTGCGGTGAGCTCTTCTGTCTGGAAATAGTGTCTAAAACGACAAACAGTGCATAACCTTCTTGTTCGACGAGCTCGAACTTGTCATATCACAAGCACAACCTCTACCTCGTAGGCCCGAGAACCTCAACTGATCCATGCTCTGGACACCAGTAATCCACATTTACGGAACCCCCGTTGCCATCACTGATCTTGCCATGTGTAATCCAGTTGGAATGGGGGAAATTCCTCTTCAAGCACATGCCTACCTGATTCCAACACATTCTCAGGTATAGCGACTCCTCTGGTGTGAAAACTCACATGTCGTGCAAGAGCTGTTTGCTTGAATCTACAAGATGTGTCTAACTCCACTGCCACAGAAGTTCTCGTAGAATTGATGAATAGCCTGAGTTGCTGCACAGTCGGTGAATCATCGAGGCCTCCATCGATATTCCGGAGAATCCTGCAGAATTGTTCCACAACACGTGGAAAGCACCTTCTCTTACCTGTGAGCAAATTCATCTCCCGGAGACAACTGATTTGCTAAGGCCATTGAATGTAGACAGCGGACTTTATCAGTAATTGTCAGGGCCGAGCTCGGATTCCGCAATACCCTTAGAGTGCTTAAGAATCAGAGCGATATTTGCAAAAGTGGTTAGTACTCTCTCAACTTATCAACCTGTATTGGTAGCCCGAGAGATGCCCTTGCGTGGCAATGTCTAATGAATTCTTTCTCACCACCTTCCTCTAGGAGTCGGCTCTGGCGTACCATAGAGAGAGTTTGTCTTCAAATGAACTAGGCCAACTCACTGAAAAGTCCTCCACCGAAGTCCATCCTTCGAGTTTTAGGTTGGTCCTCGCTAAAACCGCAAGTATCTCTGTTGGAGGTAAGCAGTGTTGAGGTTGTGGAACCTAAGGGGATTGATGAGACGAGTCCCGTCCTGAGCTCATGAACTCTTCGGAATCGCTGCATCAATGATGCAGCATCATACATAGGATCTCTTACATGGCTGAGTAACTTCTGGATAGTATGTGCGGACGCATGACGCTGTACACGGGATACTTCACGACATAGCCTACCGAGTAGGCGGGCTTCGACAGGATCTTGCATCCAACTGCTTTTCGATCCGGAAATGGATGAGGCAAGTGGAGTCGTCTGAGCTCGCACTGTAACCTACAATATTCGAAACCCAATCAACCTAGTCAAGGCCGTGTCCTTTCAACTGGTAGCGGAACAATACTCACCTCGTGGGCAACAAGCTCCGGGAAGAAACGTGATAGTCGCGACAATTCCTGTATCGAACGGGAACTGGATACAACAACAGTCATGAACTCAAGTGACTCCCTCTTAAAATTCTCATACACCAGAGACATATAACCTGTATCAGAAGATACTGCCTTATACGCGTCAGAGCCACCAAATCTCACTATCACTCAGCCCAAGTGCGGCTTCACATAAACTGCAAATAAGCGCGATGAGACCGTGGGGATCATGGAGGGACGGGGGTCCTAGGTCTACCAGCCGTGTGAATAAGCACCCGACCATTTTAGGGTCTCCCAAATACTCACGGTTACGCAAACCTGTTGAGCAAACCTTTCTCAGATGACGAAGTACGAACGAGACAGGCTGAACAATTCAGCTTGAATTTCCAATAAACCTCACCAGGAATTAGACCTGCAATATCATCGATTGAGAGTTCTTCTCGTAGATCGATGATGCGCTTCGATAACGCTTCTACGAGTGATACCGGCAGAGAATCCGATGTCTCGTCCGACTGACAGGATGCAAGTGAAATTCACTCAGTGGATGTACAACTACAATGGTTCTTCTGATTCTCAAGAGACCGAGTGAACGAGATTACCTCTAATGTACGCTTGACCGAAGACATTAGTCTACATACTTCATGTGGACCCAACAAAGGAATATGCTCCTCCACAGATGAGATGATATTAGTCTGAGTACCATCAACATTTGAACAGAGAAACGGTCCCTAAGCTCAGCTATACTCCCCACCAAGGCTCGTCCGGAAGGAGAGTCCGGACTCCTCGATAGCATATCTTCTCTCCTTCCCTGCAGAATCGCAGTAGCCAGGCATACCCATGTCACCTTCCATTCGGAGAAATCATAGATATGAATTTTTGGGCCGAGCCTCGCGGACATGCACCTAACCCAACTTCCTAGTGAAGAAGGGCCTTCGACGAAGACTCATAGCTTACTCCAGAAAATCCGCATCACAATCTTTGAAAGCTTCCAAAGCCATACCACAGTCCTTAGCAGACAGTCGAGTATTCGGGTCGTCAGTTAGAAGCCGTGAAAAAATTCCAGCCAAGACCTGGAGATGCTCTGCATGAGACCTGATACAACAGGATAGACCCTGACGGCGCAAATGGTCACATTCAAATGAAACTCAGTGAGTTTCCTTTGAATGTGACCATTTGAGTTTAACTCACACTACCGAGACAACTTCGCAAGTCCATAGGCGACCCATGCAATCTGCTGCGGAGTTGTGAAAGACACCGTGCATTTCGATACTCCGAGTATCTAATTCAGAGACCATGGCATTGATAGATTATGAAATGCCGAGTAGCAAGCCGAACAACAACTCACTCGGTTCTTCGCAGATGTTATTATATCCTCAGCGACTCGAGCATGAGCCGAGTCCTTCTGCAATATAAGGGGCCTCATGCGAGTCATCGCAGAGAAGACTTTTGAGAGGTCTCGACCTAACGAATATGGGAATACGATAGTTGGATCATATTGGGTTATCCTGTGCCTAGCGATTCGTGAGGAGTAGCACATGATACGATTTAGGCGCATGAGAGACAATTCCAATACCTCAGGTATTATACCTGAGAACGACGGGGTCTCCACCAAGTCTTTGCAACGCTTCAGGTATTCCAACCACAAGAGACTGTTATAATATTTCTCGTTCGCAGTCGCTTCCATTGCTGCGGCCAGAACATGGTGCTCCATGCGACGCACCTAAGAAGCTCCAACTCATTCGCATTGCGGATCGGAGGCAAACCTCAGATATGTTCCGCTGATACCGCTGTAGAGGAGACCAATTCTGCGATCCGCTCTCGGGATTGTGCCCCCGAAGGGCTAGCGCTGACCTCCGCATCCTAGGCGCTATGCTAAAGAATCTCATTTCCTTGGCAGTTAGCATCAGTGAGGTCCCCAGTAGTGAAACCATTCTAAACCTAACCTATGGAAGGTATCCCATAACGAACTCCTCGTAGACTAATCCAATGGACGTAATAATATTAACACGGAGCAAGAGAGTGATTATCGAAATAAAAAAAGTAAATTTGGGCCTCAGCAAATAACTACGAGGTGCAGCACTCGCTGCTATCGAGCTAGCACTCACTAGCAGTGACAAGAGTCATGATATACAGAGATATATCTTCCATTCTCAGAGCTCTAATGGACATGTCGATCTGATCCGTGAAGCAGACACTGCCTGATATGCCAGGTTACTTCACGATACAGGGTACATTCCTCTCTTCGCTGAAGCTTCGTTAGCACTACGATCGGGCACAAGCTTGCGACCAAGTTGAGCCAGTTGCTCCCAATTGAAACTGCAAGGTGGAATCACGCACTCTACCACTGTGTCATCAACATCTTCCCACCGTGAGCGTCGTGTGTTCTTTTTTTCCATCCTTACATGATCAGCTCCTTCACTACCATTTCTAGTCTCACCGGTGGATTTCCGAGACGTGTCAGGTGACGATGACTTCTGGCCGGTGATCTTCTCCCAAAGAGGATCATATCCTTCATCCACGGATGACGAATCTTCACCAGAAGGTCCAGCAACTTTGACTGTCTGATCATTATGCGCCACGCGGTCAAGCAGCACGGCTTCGAACTCGTGCCTAGATGTCTGTGTGAAACACGACAAGACGAATCACATCTTCGGTCCTACCAATCGAGGAACCCGTCTCCATTTTTGTCGCACTCAGCAATTATCTCTTCCACAGGAGTACCGTCGTATGATTCACCTAGCACCTGAAATTAATGTCAATTACTTCTCGGGAAGCTCATCCCGGTTATTTATCATCAATAGAAGTAAGGATCGACGCACTTCGCGTAGATTATCAGCAGTAATCTTCCCAGTGCCGTCAGTATCCATTTTCGCAAACATCTCCCTGATTTGCTTCTCGTGAGTCATCATACGCGCAGACATTGCCGCGGCCAAAAACTCGGAATAGTGAATCTGAGATTGACAATTCTTTTCGTTAAAGAATCCCAAACTTCATCCATAACTACCTCGCCACCTTGTCCAGCATCGATCCTCTGGAATATAAATCTAGCTTCGCTCTGATCCACGTTCAAGTGATGCCGAAGTACCGCCATTAAATCTTGGGCAGAAACAGTGCCCGTCCCACGTATGTCGAGCGCCTGAGAAGAATCAGCACTGAAAGGGACAGTAAGCAAACGCCGAGCGTGCGGATGCAGTATGCCGCCGACTCTGCCACATGCGGGGATCGTAGAGAGCTCACAACTACCACACCTGGAACTCCTTAGCAATGGCTTCCAGATCAGTGTTGTACGTTGTCGAGTAAGCCATGAGTCCGATGGCCGCTCGCTTCAAGACATTAGATTGGGCGAAGTCACGCATGGACTTTACCACAGCAGGGCATGTTAAACTTGGATCTAGAGTACCTTAAATCAAACCAATTGACCACGCAGTGATGCAGGACATCAGATATACCCGAAACTGTCCAGGTTCCATCCTCATTCCCGTATCGCAAAAGCCAAGGATGGTTGATAGCTCTTCCGGCTGAAAGGCGATCAGCAGGATCCTTCTGCAGGAGCTTTGAAATAAAATCCCGTGCAGGGCTGGATATGAAGTCCCAGGATGGGCCAGAAAATGAATACCTGAATCCACACAACGAACCCTGAAGTGTTCATAGAATCACCCGAATGAGCAGCAGCCAGAATCCAGCTGTCGAGTGACTCACGTTCCTTTTGAGACCTTTCTTAGAATCTCTTTGTCCGTGTCACCATCGAATGGAGGGACCCCAGCTAGCAACATGTATGTCATGACCCCTATGGACCACATATCACAAGAGTAATCATACTTGCCGGTCATCACTTCCGGTGCAACATAGTATACAGTTCCTGGAGAGAGAGGCACAAGTTGCAACTACCTACGTGTCATACCTCATCGGCAAGTGGTTGCTAGCCAGAAAGTGAACCCACTGACCCAGTGTGACTGGAAACAACTCACCTGTGATCGCCGTCATGGGAACACCTCTAGAGAATATCCTAGATAGGCCAAAGTCGATCAACTTCAAACGCGATTTTTCGCTCATATCAGCGTAAACAAAATTCTCGAGTTTCAAGTCACGATGACAGATATTCTGGTTATGACAGTAGTTCACTGCCAGTACCATTTGTCGGACCTGAGCAAACCCAACTGCAATGGATGAGTCCCACTGTGAAACCCGCGACACATCCCAATGCACTACCACATCGCTAGCATCACGTTCTGAGAAGCGCTTGCGCATCGCCAGTCTATCGTATAGTTCTCGACCAGTGCATAGCTCCATGACCAAGAAAACGTTACCATTGACCGCACTTTCATCGTAAACCTGAGAATCAACCTGGCCCCAGTACAGTACGGAGACCCCACCTCGAGCAGCCGACAGATATTTGGATGATCTAGCCGCAAATAAATCTTCACTTCTGTCACGATTTCGTCAATTTTATCGGCAGGTAAACCGCGAGTACTCAACACTTTCACGGCTACCCTCTGACCATCCGACTTCCGTTTTGCTACTCTAACGGATCCCGAAAGACCTAGAGAATACAATCAAACTCCTAAGAGTCTAAGATGTATGTCATGGATGCGACTATACCTGTTCCTAACACAGCGGCATCTCTCGGCATATCATAGATGCGGTCGAAGCGACGGCTACGCAATATCCTCCCCTTCTGATTAGATATCCCTTTTCCCAGAATAGATGCAGATGAAATTGTCGCTGGATAACTATCCCCTCGGGAATCGGTATGAGCGTTCAAATATCCCTTTGTAGAGGGCGACGTACCCGTCCGTTGCCTTCGACCCGTGGTAAGGCGGGATACATCTTGATCAACCGACAGGCGACGACTGTCGGCATGCGGCGCTCGAGCAGGGAGTGTAGTCCTAGTACTTCCCAATTGCGAACTCGGAGATGATCCAAAGCCGAATACGAATCGAAAACATGATGTGATGCTATCCATAGCCTCCTGCAGTAATGTGCGCCTCCGACGGTGAACACCTGAGAGCGAAGCACTTCCAACGACCTGCTTCCGCACCGGTATCAGGGCGTGCACCACTGACCTTACCTCTATTCAACATGGCGAGACGGTGTCCATGTCCAGCTCCTCCGTGCGGGGTATTTAGTGAGAATTGATTCGCAAGCAGGTTTCCATGAACAGGAGTGGGTTCTTCTGTGAAGCTGACTCGCTTCTCAGCCATACAAATGATCGTCTACTAATTCAACAACGCCTACATCCACGCGTCGGCAACAAGGACTCCTTCCCAAGGGGCTACCCTAAGTCGATTTCGATGTCGCAGACAATTGAAGAGCCGACATTAGCGCAACACTGATCACAGACACGATGATAATACTGAGCATGCTATTTCACATAGACTCCATATCTCTCAGTGGGCTGAGATACCCCGCCACGGATCAGATGCCCCACCACAGGAACTCAGGTGAGATCCTTATGTAGAGTGACAGAGCTAGACGAGTCCACTATTTCATCGATGAGTTCTCTCATCGCTCCGAGGATGCTGTTTCTCACGAGAGTTTCTTCCAATGTACTGATGATCTCCTGAAAAGAGATTGGCTACGGCTGTTCTGGATTATTGGAGCGAACCTCTGTTGCTAGTAAGCTCGAGTGAGTAGCACACAGCCCCTCCAAGGCGACCATCAGCTGTGTGGTTTCAGGCTGTGTTGTGATCGCCCACGAATCTCGGAAATACCCAACCGTCTAAGAAGACCGGAATGCGGCAATTTGATCGGGATCTACTTATACCGGAGCATTAAAGGTGACGGCGAGCTTCAAAGAATCGCCGGGGAGGAGCGTTCCTCTGCATTGATGACACGAGAACGGGGACTGTGTGTACAGTGCCACATTTGTGATCAGCGCTTCCCGATCAAGGGATGCATCCTGGGCGAAGGAGAAGTTTATAACCTATCAGACCTTCCTCCGAAAAGATATGTTCGCTCATTCCCAACTACCGTTGATCCGTTGTTCGTTATTTCGATCTCCCTTGAATCAGTTTGTGTTCCGGTTACGAATGTAGTGAAAAATACCCTTGATGCGGATAGACATACGCTAGGGCCACCCTCTTCCGCAGTTCCAACCCCTGAAATTTCCTGATCAGGACACATCACTTCCTCAGATACCCATGCACGCCACATCGTCCGTTTCTCCTGAGGTTTTCATCCCTGCGACATCCGAATGTCCGGCCGTGTGAGAGTCCTTCGAGCCCTGAGACACTAACTCTCGCGGACTCTCCCCCGTACAATACCTACGCCTTCAGTGCGCTCGCCAGCTTCTTCGACCACCGATCGCTCTTGAATGCCCAAAATTTCTAACGTATCGTCAAGATTCAGCACTCCGGGCGCAGCTTCCGTCATCGGCAAACGGAACCTCAGCTTTTGGTGAAACGTTAGGCAGTGACAATGCCTCTACCTTGTCAACCTATCCCGCAGGTACTGATCATCACGCCATGTCTTTGTCGATTTGTTTTTCAGGGAAGTAAAACAATCCTTGAGCCATGGCTTCCGAATGATCTCGCTGTCTTGACGCGTCTTCGACAGTCTCGATGGCACGTACAGACCCGAAAACATGTTGCCAACCTGGAAACAAGCCGTTTTGAGACTCACATACCCCTATAAGACAAGTTTACCTGACTGAACTTCACTCCACCATCACGCAGACTGTGATACCATGAATCTTCCCCGCTTTTCTCAACTAGTGGCGTGACCATGTCGAGGAGGTCGAACAATTCGATTCTCTCCCGGTGCCTAACATGACCTCACGGAACTACATGTCATACGTAAAAAACTATTCTTCTACTCCTCGGCTCGGGTTATAGCGAGTTCGCCAAGTTCTCTCCTAGTGACCTTCCCCGCAAGTGTCCGAAACCTACAAGACAAGCTACGCAAAACAGTGTAGTACAGCAATTACTTTTCCCATTCCTGAGACATTGCCTCATGACGAGCAATGACTCGGCCTTCTCGATCGGCCATTAACTTGCCCTCCAAGGTCAGACTTTGCAACCTCCTACAAAAGTCCAGGACGATATGAGCGTAGAAACCAACAAAATATCACGCCGCAGAATTGGAGAAGACCAGAATGAAATCGAGATGGCAAGCCCTGCTACTTCAGCCTCGCTGCAAGGTAAGTGCTGCGCAACCGTCCGATCTCATCTTGCGATGGGAACAATGGTTTAGGTTCGCAGCGGCTCTGTCCATCCCCTGAGGAGACCCAAATGTTCCGATTCCCAGAAATTAGGCGACAGGTCGTCGATCAGTCAAATTAGCTGCACTCCGTTCCGTTTTACCGTCATATGATGTCCGCAAGGATCGCCCGCGCGCTGGCGGTGCGGCTGTAGGCCTATCCAGAGCGCACACCTGGATGGGTTCCTCGCCATCCGTATCGCGTCTGGGTCCTCGTCGTCGAATGAATATCCTCATCGGCTCCTCGGACATCACTACTGAGCCGGGTGAGGTCTCGAGAAAGGACATACGAGGAGAGAGACAATATGCAGAGCCTGGATCGGGAACGTGCCAGCTGCGCTACTCAGACGACCATTTGCCCTGAACACGGTGATCAAATCGTCGGGAGCTAGGTATCGCAGTAAGCAACGACCATGTTGCATTACCCAACCGCAATACCCTAGCAATAGTAATGGTAGTGATTCCTGCTAAGGAATCGACGAGAGTGAAATCCTGGACGACAGAGGAACACAACTTGCACAATGAAGCACGCAGGAGAAACCAAAGTGCTTCAATAGACGCTAGACTGACTCACATGCAATTAAGATGAGTGATTCGATATAAATCCTGTGGGGATCATCAGGTCGTACTTTCTTCCTGCGATGGACGGTCTTGTACATCCGCCGCGGAGAAAGTTATGACCTTAGTGAGGAAGAG